CTCGACCGCTCAAAGTGAGGCTTTTTGAGGCAATTGCATATGAAGGACTTCGGGTAGCCGTTGGCTTTAAAAAGGCCTTGTAAGTAATTCATCTCCGCCTTCCTCCCACTGTCGTCGCTACAGTGTGTTTGAACACGTTGAAAGAGAGTTATGACACAACTGCGTTTATGACCAACAGGGTGGCTGCTTCGGACGAGGAGGATGCGCCTAGTATTTGTTGCCTTACGGTAAACCGTTGTCCTTATCTTCCCGTCTGTCAATCTCGTAACTTGTACGTCCAGGAAGGGCAACTGATTGTTTACTTCCTCTTCCATAGTAAACTGAATGTCGGGGAAGATTGAGTTCAACAATGTCTTGAAAGCCTTCACCTCGTTCCTCTTGATTACAACGAACGTGTCGTCGACGTATCTGGCCCAGAACTTTGGGGGGTACGAGCTGAAGACCTGCTGCTCGAGTCTCTGCAAAACTGCCTCGGCAATTAGTCCAGCCAGAGGCGAGCCCATCGGTGTCCCCTTCTTTTGCTCGTAGACTTGGCCGTTGAATTTAAAGAAGGTCTTAAGACACAGTTCTGGGAGCTCGATGATGTGTGCTCGTTTGAGCTGTTGGTCGGTCTCATCATACTTTTCCCGGAGAAAGCCATCAATAGTGTCGATATCCAGCGCGGGTGGGATGGAGGTGAATAATGAGATTACGTCGAATGACACCATCACCTCATCTGCCTCCACCTCGAGATGTTTGATGCGCGTCAAGAACTCTTCAGCCGACTTCACTGTCCACTCCGAATCCTTGGTAAGGAAACAAAGTCGCTGGTACAGCCACTTTGACAGCCCAAAGGTTGGAATGCCACGTAAGGAGACGATGGGGCGTAGCGGCACCCCCTGCTTGTGGACCTTTGGTAGGCCGTAGAAGCGTGCCATCGCGGTATCACTGGCTTTGGTGGCCAACGCTTCCCTTCTAGAATACAATATGGTCCATGGATTCGCCCTCTCTTCTTTTTCTTTTTCTTCGGGAAATGATGAACGCGATATATATATATATATATGGCAACTTTTTCATCGTCAATAAAGATCAATTGAATCTGCTCCATACCAATAGTTACTCCATATTTCCAGGAATAACAGTTATTTTCGGAAGCGAGGTCGATTGTCAACTCTTATTCCTGGATGTCCTTGTACGTCGAAAAACCGATGGATTCCTTCAGACATCAGTTTATCGCAAAGTGGCGTATTCAGATGTCATCCTACATTTTGAGAGTAACCACCCTGTCTCTTCCAATTGGAATACAGTCTACAGCCTTCTTAATCGAGCCAAAACCCACTGCTCTAATGAAACAAGTTATCGAGAAAAAATAAAATATCTCTACAAGCTGTTCTCTTAAAATGAGTGCCCGCAGGATTTTATACGTCAATGCATGAGGCATCAGCAACCCAATGGAAAAGGTATTTTCAGTGCTACAGCCGCTCGGGCACCAAAACCAAACACATGGCGAACTACCCCCACGTGAAAAATGTATCTGAACTAGTCGAAAGATAATTGAAAAAGTACGAGATACACGTAGCACACCAGCCGGCAACTACCTTACCCACACAACTTGTACACCCTAAGGACAGGGTTGGCTACCACAAAAGAAAAGGTGCTATCTAAAAATACCGTGTTCTAGTTATGATGCCGTCTATTGTGGCCAAACTGGGAAATCTGTCTCAACCCGTATGCACGAGCATCCGTTAACGGTAAAGAGACGCGACCATCTATTCCAGGTGGCCATGCACACACTGGACACTGGGCACAAATTTGCATTGGAAAACAATCACATTGTTGGCGCATGCCCAATAAGGAAAGGCCGCGAATTCCTGGAGGCAATGCACTCAGATGAGGCATGCATCAACCGGCATATCGATCTAGATGCCACATACAAAATCTTAGGTACAGACTGAAACTGACTCAACCAATCCCGAGAAGATCACCTTAAGCAAACATAGAATCCATTTATCACACTCGGTCCAGAAGTTAATTTTTTTGCATGCCCGTTGCCTGAAGACGAGCTGGGTAACCAGTCTCAAAAATTTACACAATAAAGTTTACTGTTTCTCAAAGAATTTTATCTTTATATATATATATATTCAATCAGGAATGGGCGCACACCCATCTCTTGGCTTACCGAAGCAAACATGCACTGTAAAGGTAAAAAAGCTCACAAACAGGCAACCAATTACCAGGCCGCTCTTGGCCAAGTCATAATAGCAGCGAAGTGGTACGACAGACAATGCGGGTAGATTGACATAGCACTGTTTCGGGCTTATTTTGCCTTCATTCAGCCAACCATAACCCTAACCAAAATAGAACTCTATCAATACACTCTCATTTCCTGTCGTCCCTTCTCCCTGATAAATATTTACGTATATGCGGGATAGCATTCTTGACAAAACAAGGGAGAATAGTATTTCCTCTCCAGGCTTATTAACCGCCATTAGCCAGCTATATCCGGCCCCGAGATGACCAACATTTGAGGCTCGATCACGAGGCCTATTATTTAGAAGCCCAACGCCTTAACCACTGAGCCATGGACCCGTTACCCTGCTGGTCGTATTCGGGAATATTGATATGGTGGAGGGACGTTCACTGGGCGAACTTGCGTCTGAATATCAGGTCCTCTAAATCGGGGTCTGTGTGTGACTGTCCAGCGGGGGCTAATAATGCAGAATTAGCCATCGCAACCGCCGTCTTCTTTACCAGTACTCCTTTTCAGCATATTTAGGTCCAGCTGACGTCGAATTTCAATCGTGCTTTCTACCCCCAATTCGAACCCAATACAGCAAGGGGAAGGCTTGAGTACGCCCAACGATCTAGTCACCAGAGCTACAAGGCCCCACCGGGAGCAGTGAGTTTAATCACATTTGGGTCGACTTGCGCGTCCTGCCTTCTACAACCTGTGGGATCCGCCAAAGTTGGGTCAAAAAGATTGCTAAAAATCTGTCAAAACAACTTTTTACTACGTGAGCCTGGTAGTCATCCGGTGGATTCAAGATGGAAATCCTGTTTGTGCAGTCGGCTTTCTGTATCAGATTTGGTGAATTCCATACGTTGCGGTGGGCTGGGCGATTAGCTTGACCGAAATGGTACTAAATTCACGGCTTCCGATGTGGCCTCGCAGCTCAAGTGGCTAGAGCGATGGCAGTACTAAAGCCTTCTCCTTGCTGCCGTGAGTTCGAATCCCACCGAGGTCGCCGAGTTTTTCACAGTTGGATCAAAATACATTACTCAGAATTTTCCCAAGCACCTATTGATTATCGATTTGCTAAACAACACAGCCGGCACTTGCTTTCACTTGTTCGCAGTTCCCGTGTTTGGGAATTTATTCAACCCTGCCAAATATATGTAAGTGAACTATATTATGGTTGAAAAGTGATACAAACGAGGCAATCGAGACCATTCAGACGATGAAATCCTCAGATCTCAGTCCATTCGTATTTCTTAATTGACTAACTGTGGTTTGAAGGCAGAGCACGCAGGCCTGGAGGACCTCAGACTAGATCGATGATTGCATACCGTTAGTCAACTGAGTTACATGACCCAGAGCAGAAACCGAACGACATAGGGGATGACCCACGTTGGCTCCTGTAGAAGTGAGAGTTCGTGAGTGCCACATACAGGAGACTGTTTTAGTTGTTTTTCTCATATCTACAGCAGATATATATACGTACCCTGCAAATGGGTGATTATCCAGGCGGGATCTGTCCTGGACAGATTTTGAGAAGGCTTTCAGCCACTCAGTCCAGATAATTACTCGTTTGACCTCCTCATACATCAGGAGGCATTACCAATGAAGGCAAAGCGGCCATTTTTATATTAATAGCCGTCGACAGTGCCGCATAAGACATCAGAAGGTCGCCCCGACTCACTGTTTGGACCCTGACTTGGTCATCATTTTGGACAAAAACACCGACACTTATGTTAACGGTTTATGTCAGACAATCGGGAATAAGCCGGCTGTGTTATGTCACGAAATGTAGGCCGAAATGTGCTTTGGATTACGAAAGCTTGCTTGAATGGACTTATAATACTAACTAACGCGCGACATTCGCATCAGGGTGCCGGCTTTTGGCTGAGCTCCATTTAGTCACCCGAAGAAACGACTATGCGATGGTGAACACTTGATTGTTATGCAACTTTCTGATTAATTTTCGAATGCCTTACAAAGTCGGATGTATTATATTAAAACGGGCGAAAAATGTACATTTCTTTACTCATTTGTTGACGAATTAAGTCATCCTTAATACCTACACTCGAAAAATCAACTGTCAGTTTTGTAAAAATTTTCGATTCCTGAATGCTATCGAGCACAATTTACTATTGCACCTGCATTCGCGGTTTACGAAATACAAACTATATGTCTTCCGTGTAAGGAAAATCATGGAAACTTCATAACTCGTTTTTAATAAATCGACAGATATGATGCTTCATAAATGAACATTTCATGGTCCTAGAAATCTCGTTAATAGAAACCATTTGAAAACCGACTACTACTGTTCCTTCAAGTATAAAATATAGATACGGCGTAGTTTTCTGCCAAATTAGCATGAGGAAGGATATTTGTGGGCGCGGCTTCAATAAAATATATTCAAATTTATAAGCACACTGAATTGAAAAATTGCATAAAAAATCTATGCAGTCAGTTTCTATAGAGTACGGTTTTTGCCGGCGGTCGGAAAAAGTTTGTTCAAGAGCTAGCATCCTAACATGACTGAAACTGCTAAGGATTATGTTGCATGATAAGTAGCAATACAACCCTACTTAGGTGATCTTTTGTAATCGAAATATCGATCAACATTTCATGAGAGAGCGCATCCACGTTATGTAAAGCACCTTCATTTTGAATTACAAAAAATCCTAAAGGAAATGAAAATAGATGAGAAAAGGAAGTGTGCTCTTTGCGATATTTGTATTTTTACCTTCACCACATCATAACTCCCTACCCTTCTTAAATGATCAGAAACCTGTGCCTAAGGAAATTGAACGAAATGTGACATGTAATATGTCTCGTCGGAGGCCTCCGAAGTACATAAAATTTGATGGACAGGAGAATTTGGATCATCCGTCCATTTCACGCGATATGCGATCATGAAAATGTTGCATGATGATCCCTTATATGCTGCATAGTTAGAAATAATATCAATTTCAGCATAGACGTAATTCGATTTTATGATAAATGCAAAAGCTAAAGTGTGGAATCGTCAGAAAAAACTCAATCGAAAAAACACTAACGGTATTTGCCAAATGAGTGAGTAATGGAATTTAACCTTAAATCATAAGGCCCGAAAGCTGGGATCTTATAACACACGCCTGTAACTAAGAAGCCGCCGCAGGTTCAGTCATATTACACCAGGGTCAGCTGCTGGCAATAATTTCGCTGTAGTTGGCATTGCCAGCAAACTCGCAAATCGCTTGAATTAATATGAAGAAATTTGCACTAAAGGTTGCATGTAAAAGGTCCTCTGCTAAATCTCGTAAAACGCGTCAGCAAGATTTATTTGAGGTAGTGAAATTGCATGGTGAACCTAAGGCAAATAAAATTGCAAGATTTAGTGCTTGCGGTTTATATGGGAAACGCCGTGTGGGAATTCATCTTTCTTAGGACAGCGATAGATAAAAATATCCTCCTATTTAAATTTGACTTAGACTTCGAATCCACAAAATCCGCTTTCATATTTGCCATGTTTTAGACTGGTAACTCTGGGTATTTTGAGCAAATTATGGGGAGATCTTTCAGGTATGGCTTGCTTTGGATCATCGGAAGCCTCAGTGAACTTCGGAGGAGCTTTTCTGATTTACCCAGATTTCCACAGTCCTTCGAATACATAACACATTTGAATGAAGAATGAATGGAAGTAGGACTGGAGGTGGTAGACCATCTGTAGTGAGTTCAGGAAGTCTACTTACTGCCGGGCAATCAAGTTCACATAAAACAGGAAGGATGTCCAATAGAGGAAAGTATCGGTTGCCTGTGTAATCCTCGATGCCTATAGAGAATATCACAACGCCATAGTGCTTTCATCCACAGTACACCAGTCTGTGGTACGATAGTGTCGATCATCAGCTACTGTTTGCTCTTCCGTCCTCACGTGATTATTTTTTCAAAATGGATGGCGAATCGCATTTTGAGCGGACAAACCGTTCTTACAGAACCCGCAGTGTACTCGAGCACACTTTCCCCATCTTTCCTGATTCAGACGAGTATGGAAGAAACTTAATATATAAACTGATACAATTCGTCCTCTGTAAGTGTTCTGTATAGAAGGACCTGTTTAAAATTGACAAATTCTAGCTTACCTTCACATTCTGTAGGTCCACGCTTGCCATATGAACACTTTGCCACCCCGTTGTCATACACCGTTACCTATTGCAGGCAACCAGATATAGTGAGAAATCAGTCGTCCATTTGTGAGTAGTATAGATTAAAAGACCCCTAACTTCTGGGTCGACGGAAATTTCACTCACCCAAAACTTCTTCACCAAAAAAGAGATTAAAAAACACAAGACTGTGGCCTACATGAAGCATGACACTTCTGACAAATGTCAACAGACTAGTATGCATTTCTGTGCAGTTATGTGGTCTCAAGACGAAAAAGAACGAAATGTGTGTTGGCCCTCAAAAAGAATCCTTCTGTCTTGAAACACACAATGTTCTACCACTGTTTAAATATGCCTGTCGGGTAAATGACGTCTCCAGCGATTTAAATTTATATGAGGCGCATTGTTTTTTTGACTCAAAGGGAACACCGCAAAAGACGAGGAGGAAAAGAAGTCATCTGGCCTCTCCCTGTCTTGGCCAATCAGGTTGAATGGCGAAGATCAACGCTACGTGGAGTCAATGGATTTAATATCGCAAACGATCTTGCCCACCACATGGCCAGAGAAATGCGAGTCGACCAGCTCTTTTGAAAGCGCCTTATTCATTTATTCTCGAAATGGACCGAAATAGAGAAGACAGCGGCTTTTTTGACACTGTTAACTTCTGCGAGCCATTTGAATTGGTTCCCTTCGTATCGCATCGGGTTGGCATCCGGAAGTTCTCTAGGGCATCGTTTTAGGCATGTGCTACCCTGAAACAGTTCAAATTTTGGCTTATGCATCCATTTAAAGAGATAAGATTGGCAGTTTGTTTAATGGCGTCTTGTTTCGGGTGGTAAATTTAAGTAAACCCGCAGATCTGTAAGGGCCGTATATACCATGTTGTTTCATCAGAGTTGACAAAGATAAGCGATAGAAGGAAAATCCGGACTGAAATTCTTAGAATTCAGAGGAATTTACGTTGAGTGAGTTCATTGAGTCCTTGAAATCAGGTAGTATATCCGAGGTCGAGCAATACAGCTGGCCCCGTAAGTTGTGCCCACTTATAAGTAAACTTTCACGAAACAAATGCAAGCCCTGATTAACTTGTGAATGCGAAAAATTCACTGTCGTTTCCTAACCACTTAAAAAGTATAATTTCCCGACATATTTTAGGTGTTGGCGTCGGCATATTCCTAAGACTGAATCACACAATATGAACAAACTAGACTGGAATAGTCTGTGGACAAAATTCATTCATCCAGAAATAATTGCCTTCCTCCAGTCATCCATACAATACTGTATATGTAACCCCTGTCGCCATGGAAGTTGCATGCACTCCTTTAACTGACATCGTCAGGAAGAATTTTCCGAATCATTGAAGAAGTAGACAGCGTGACCTACCTTTGGCCTTAAACGCCGGTGGGAAACATACAATGGACACTCGATCAGCACTTCCTCGGATCGACCAAATGGAAAGTGCGTTACTGAGTTTACATAGAGTGGAGCAAAGGAGAATTCTAAAAGCGAAGGTATACGCATATGATTTACTAATCAGACGATGAACACTCGAGAACGCAAATTTGACAGAATTTTCGACACAGTATCTGGATATTGCAAACATTGATAGAGATGCTAAAATTTTTGGCTCAAAACTTCAAGAGGTATTAAGCGCTTCCAACTGGAATGATACACAATTCAGTGTTAAGTCCTTCACAGTTGTAAGCTGGTTGTTTTATAACTTCTTCACCCGCCCCTGTGTAAGTTACGTTAACAAAATCCCTACTCAAACGACATTCATTTTATTTTCAGAGTGTAATAATGAAGGAAGTTGTGAATACTTATCAAAAAATTTTCAAGCAGTTCACTCCATACACTTGTTAGGAAAGAAGTTAAGTATACTTAAAATGCTGTAGGTGAGTGCTGGTAAATCACGTTCATTAAAGTCCTACTCAACTTGCATTTATTTCATTTTTGATTGCGATAGACGAAGGAATTCTCAAAAAATTCTTTAAGCAATTCATTGCATAGGCTTGCTATGTAAGAAAATTAAGTGTTCTTTAAATGCTGTGGTTGATTATTGGTAAAAATCGGCACCATCTGATGTTCGGAGTCTGCTATATTATTTAAATATGATCTTGCGACTGTTCTCGTTCAAATACTTAGTTTTGTTTGTAGTGGGCGAATGGCCAAATTCGGCAACACTAATTCCCACGCAGTGACGTATGGCGGAATGGATATCGTCACATAGGGCGATTGCAGACCTTCTCGAAATCATCACGTGGGTCAATGCGTCTTGGAATATGCTTTCGTAGAAATCATGAGGCCCCTGTTAATTAATCCAGGTTCGTTTTGCATGGTACCATATGGTTATATTTGCACCTTCAGCGTATTCTACCCGGACGGTCAGCACATCACGCCACAAACGCATGGCAAGCGAACGATCAAGGTCATGATCCCATGTTCACACCTTTGTGTTGATTGACCACTCGTCAGCCTATGACAGTCCCCCTTGCCATATACCCGGCCGTTTTCACAACCCTCCTCACTTTTGCTGCCTATCGTACTCAGTGCACGTCCTATTTCCAATTAACATTCTCTTTCACATACATAACTGCACCGATTCTGAAAATTGATATAACTATTAAATAATTATTTAAAATAAAGAATTTAGCGAACTTGTCTAGGAAATATCCACTTGGAGGACTCCTGACCATTATAAGGCTTTCACCGGCCGAAAAAAAACACTCGAAGGCGCCTACTGCCTTGCAAGGGCGTGTAGCTTACATAATTCTGGCATCAGCGTCGACGACCTTATTAGTTGTTATTTGTGTCTATACATGTGTAGCAGCCAATCTTGCGTGAATTTGGCACTGAAAATGGTGCCAGCCAACTTAAACACTGGACAAAAATCTATCGATAAAAGCATGCTTATAAGGAAAAAGCAATTTGCATGGATTGGACAAATGTAGTCTAATTAAGAAAAAATAATGCTGTACACTTCCGAAACAGAAGGCTTTATAAGCCTTATGTTAGTCTATATAAAATTGTCCGCCTTCACTCAAGAATAAACCAGGATGCATAAACAACTGAGTCTAAGTCTGAAGAGGGTCAACTGCACTACAACTACTGTGATATGGCAATTTACTGCTTGAATCGTGCATGGTTTTCAGTTCATTCGTGGAATGTGGTTGCATGAATTTACCTGGGACTGGTAGCCTGTATAACCAGTGAAATACAATCACAACATCCTGCGGCCTCTTCCCGTGCACAGACACCCAGTTTTCAGTGGTTTTGGGATCGCTGTAGAAGTAAAAATTCCAGACTCCCTTTACTTTATCTGCAATTAAAGGATGCAACCTGAATATACCATTTAGGTTAAAAGCTGCATTGCACTGTTTTGCATTCAACTAACCTTGCTTTATTTGGTAGTTAATTGTCGAACCGGTTGCGCGGCATTTTCCTTTGGAGCACTTGTATGTCACTAGAGATCTGACTGTCTAGGATATAGAAGGGAATGCATCAACATCAATTAACAAGTTGTCCACAACCTACATGGATATGCGTAGTTTGCCTGAGCTATTGCTCCACGCATGATACATGCAAATGACGTTGACTGATGCATACAGTGGAATATTTTCGAGCTTGAGAAGCGTACATTTTGTAGATCAAACTGCACTGAATATATGGAAAGCTTACCTCGGGTTCGAACCAAGTTTTGAACCAAATTCTATTTTCGGAACGCAGGCCGTATACTCCTCTGTAATCGCCACCTAAAGTCATTGGTGCAAGCGGTTAAAATGCATTGCCTGGTTTTAAATAATTTTTGTGGATTTCTTTTTTGAAAAATGCATGATAGATTACGTTTATTGTGGTTTTTGGAGAGGAAAGATTTATGGTTTCCAGTTTACAATGGTGATGGCTCGGTTGCTCGGTGACTATGACATTGACATTCCTCCCATTCGTTTAAGTGATTGACTGATCTCTCAAATGCAATAAATAGCCAGTTTTCAAACCAAATTATTTTGCTTACCTCGTTCTGGGAATTCAACATACTTCGAAAGATAGGAATAGCTCTTCGGACCCTCTACCTCACATAGAATGCTGTATGCTGACTTTCGGGTATCATGTTGTCTGTAAATGGTGTAGGACGATATAAAGATATTCTTTGATCTGTTAAGATGATTGATACCTGAAAGCACAAAGCATAGTTGTGAAATGTGCGATTGTGCAAGGTTTCCACAACTGACTTTTTACTTACATGGCCGCCTTAAACTTCCATCCGCTGAGCACTCGGTTTCCCCCTGCTTGAATATGGTGATCTGAAACGCATGTTGTTTTGCTGTTAGTTTAGCAAAAGCCTCTTATTAACTATCAAGGGCAATAATATAGGCCACCGCTGAAGCCCGCTTCCATGCTTACCCCTCTCGCAGCAGGTAACATTATTGATGGCGAATGAGGCAAACAGTTTGAAATAACGCCTGAATTCCTTGTGGTTATGCATAAGGCGCACTCAAGAGCTCAAGATAATGCAAAAAGAAACATATATCGATAGTGTTAGGCCCTATTTGTCGTGAGGCGGCAATCCTTCATATAGGTGTTTCGCTAACTTCGGTCAGTATCAGTCAGTATATTTGAAGTAAACGACAGAAACCCTGGAAATTCGATTTAGACAGTACATATTTAAGGGAAAATATTTAAATTACAAAAATTTACTTGCAGTTTTAGTAAGGATAATTCATATATCTAATAATGGAACATAAATGAGAAATTGGTATGGTATTCGCGAAATAATTGCGAAAAACTTTGTTCCCTGATTCGGACTGTGAAAATTTCCATATGGATCAGGTTTGACGCACAAAAAGGATCTGTCAAATTATGTTAGAAGTATATTTATAGCCCTTTTCGTAACCCGTTAGATCAGGCTTCGGCAGTTCGGGTTGCCTTTCAGCAGGTAAGTATCCAGTTGTCTCTTAAACACACTCACTGTAGGTGAATTAAAAACATACTCCGGCAAAGAGTTCTATTGGCGAATGACCCTCTGCGAGCAAAAGGAGGAACATCGATTTGTGTGGCACAGTTCCTTTTTAAGCTGGTAATCATGTCATCTGAGATTAGACTAGGGTGTCATTTCAAAAAACTTTTTCCAATCGACATCCAGATTAAATCCTCTTAGGAACTGGAATGTTGCTCTGAGGTCACCTCTGTCCTACCTGTAGTGGACGGGATAGAGGTTCAAGGCCTTACGTAAAATTTTTGAGGCCATGAACAGCCTTTGTAACACGCCGTCGAACACCTTTAAGAATATCTGCACCCTTCCGAAGACACGGCCGCCAAGCCTTTACCGCATATTCCAGGTGTGGCCGCACAAATGACCCATAGACTTTGCCAAAGACACCTGTATTCAGGTGAATAAACGTTCTGCGTATGGCGCCCATGACTGGCAGTGGCCGAGCAGCGACTTTAGAACACTGCGTGGCGAAGCTTAGACCGTCTTTAATGAATACATCGAGATCTTTTTGCTCATCTACGGTCTTAAGTGGTTGATTGTCCAGGGTGTCCAGAGGGTGCATTTGCTATTCGCCTCGCTGATATTACGTGCATTACTGCACATTTTTGGCGTAGGGGTAGATCGGTCTACTTAGGACTACCAGAAAAGCACACGCGGAGCGCTGGGGGACCCGTTGATCAGCTGCGTCATGCAGCGGCAGAATATCGGCAAAACACGTGTCTGTGATTATAGCCAGTACCTGTGCTATTACGTATCATATATCATGCCACTTATGCATATACTACTGGCTACCTGTTGGAAGTTTATGAATAGTACGCGGAAATTCCGCTGTTGTCGAAGGATCTCGGACCAAACATTTATGTCGAATTTCAGCCTGGGTTTATAAGCCACAGGGAGACTGATCCACCCCAAGCAAGCGGCTAATTTCTTAGTAAACCAAACAACCACGCTTAGTTGCACGCCTTTGAGAATCAGTAGTAGAAATAGACTGCAGTTATTTGAATGTTCATTAAAACATGGTAGTAAACGACAAACCCCAAAAACGCATTCCTTAGGCGTATTTGGCCCTCCTTATGGGAATTACATTCGGGCCGCTACCAGTTTAGAAGTATTTCCGAAAGCAGACAATATAATCTTATTTTTCACTTTGCCAGTTTGTCGCGTCCATAGATTCGACACCTTATTGGACTTCTACAAGTTGGATCCGGAGCGATATTTCCCCTCAATTCTAGCGAGGCAGGTTTAGCCGACATCATGTGCACATATTTATAGATTACCCAAACAATGTTTGATGGTGGCACGAAGTGGTGCCTTAAATGACTCTCTACTCGCCGCATTCGCACAGGAGAATTAGAAAGATAATATTTACTATCAGCCGCCCAGAGCATTGCAGACGCTCATCCGAGTTACCTAATTTCATGCCAAGAGAAAGAGAAGCAAGCGCAGGCACAGTCAGAACTGCCGTGAATGGACTGCTGTCTATAAAGTGTATTCTGTGGTGTCAAGAGGAGAGCAGGTCGCCAACTTCAGTCAATATACCATCACTCCTTATGAAAGACTTGACGAAATTACGATCACAGATCCCCCACCAGGGCACGTCTTCGACCTTCCCTGTCGAATAAAGTAACCGCACCACAAACCGGTGTTTAACAAATCAACTCTACTATACTAATCTACGCGTTGCCCGCGTTCAGAATATGATGGCCGGCGTTTTGGCAGTAGGTTTGTTCTGTTTATTCTTATTTAATGAATGGTTGCTGAGAATTGCCTACTATTTAACCAGATGCACGATGAATATGCTTAGATCTGCAAACCAATAAATGAGCAACACTTGATAGTTTCAATGAGTAAACATACCTTCGCCTCAGAAGCGTTTCGAGGCACTTTGACGGCACAACTGACATTCACGGATTTGGAATTAAGGGGAGCATAGTGGACGAGCGGCGAAGAATAGCGGGGGGAGATGTAAAAATCTATATGGGAGGCAAAAATTCACGTTACCTAATAGGTGGGGGGATTTTAACACGAAATACTGTATGTGCGGATAAGTTTCGTTCTTGAGCAGATGCGTAAGGTCAATTTTCTACATATTTTGATGTCATACATGACATAGACACAATCTCCAAATGACAAAAAAATCAAGGCGGCAAATATTGCATAAAAATAAGCGACAAGAGTAAAACATGCATAGAAAAGTATGTTCTTTCCAATACATACAATGTAGCACGTTCATTTTTTGGGGGAAGCGTTCAACTAATAGGGTTCGTATTTCCTAATTTAAGGGAAGATATGGACAACAAGTCACGAAGTACAAAATTATGGTTTGCGTCTGGATCCTAAAATAAACACGTTAATTGCACATTTCTTTCCACTTCCAGCACTATGTCGATATACATATATAAAATATTTAAGAAAATATTGCTGATTTCATACACTGACGCATAAAGCGAACGCTCGAACTGGCATTATCAAACTTCAGGTCTAAATTTCTTCACATGGCAAATGTGCCATCAGCGTTTCAACAGACTGATTCGGGCAAAGTATGAGAGAAGGTTGTTGGGATATAAACGGACATCCAGGGGCAAAACGCCCGGAATCTACACGATTACTGGTTTGCGAGGTCTGCCAAATGAGCTTTCAGGAGACAGTGTGGACCCTTCTGTATCCAAGGGATATTTCGACCCACCTAAAGATGGCTTTCAATCCACTGCCTTGCTTACAAACCGAAGCATTTTATTCATTTTTGCACAGTATTGATGGTCGGAAAGATTCGTCTAAATCAACGATTAGCAGTCACATACGGGCATGTACGAGAAAGACTAGTGCAGCCACTGGTGCTCTGTAGGTGGCCCTGTGAAGGACTGGTTGGGGAAACATGACTGTACTTCCCATACCGGTCCCATATCTACTTGGCGATGAGAATTCGAGATCAAGGATGAATCCTCCTGAATTGTCACGGCAATATGAGTGCACCGTTATGGGCTTTTATGGCGGTCGTGTATTCAGGGTCGAAATCTTTGAAATGTTCGTTAACATTTCCCAATGTGCGGGTGAGCTTCATTCTTAAGCAGATGCATAAGTACAATTTTGCACTTATTTTAATGTTACATCTGAAATAAGCATTATCCCAAAGTGCAAGCATCGATAAATAAAGAGTTTTTGCAGTAAATACTACTTAACAGACAATGATGTGATTAAAGCAAGCACAAGAATGCGTGTTCTGTCCAGTTCGTGCATTGTAGAAGACTAGCTTCTATGGAGGAATACATTCAACCAATAAATTACATTCTTCCCAATTTGAAGGGAGATATGGACAACACGTCTGTATGGATATTGAGAATAAGTACACTAACTGCACATTTCTCTCCTCTTTAGCATTGTCGCAGTATACGTATGTACATAATACAGTTAGACTGCAATTACTTCATGTACTGACGCGTTGAGCAGAGACGTGTAAATCAACGATTCACAGTCGCTAAATGGCAGATATGAGGAAGATTAAAGGAGTCGCCGCTGTCCTGTAGGTGAACCTGCGGACGACTGGGGAAACATGACTACACTTCCCATACCAGCTCCATGTCAACTGGGCGATAATAATTCGAGATCACTAATGAATCCTGCTGAATTTTCACGGCAAGATGAATACACCGTTATGGATGTTTCTGGCGGCCAGGTATTCAGGGTCGAAATCTCTGGAATTTTCGTTAACATTTTCGGACGAATGTCGGTTGAAGAAAGGCCAAACTCGAGTTTTATCGTCTGGGGAGTCCTGTTGACATCGATATTTGAGATTTCCTGAAACATATTTTTACCAGTTCTATTGCAACTCCGTTTACTCTTTTAGTTGAATGACGCCATGACATGCCTCTCAGAACTAAAATGTGGTAAATATTGTTTAGGAGTTCATCCATTAATTTGCCAGTCCTATAAGGTAGGCAGAATAGTTTATTACAGTCTAAGACCATCCAATTGCCAATTATTCAATTCCAATTGTGCATTCTGCAAGGTGTGGTGACAGATTTTAAGGCACTGATTTTATAGTCTCTGGAAAAGTTAAGCTTAATGCGATAAATATGATGAAATCAGAATAAAAAATGTAATATTTGAAAGCAACCTAAGCCTTAAATGATAAAATATAATATCTCGTGATTGATGAATACAGATTTTGATATTGCATTATTACTAGAAAAGTATGATGGGGTTTACATTGGAAACAATCAAACCGAACATTCCACATAAATTGACACAATTCTGAAATAAATAAGCAAAATCTAAGAACTCGAATAAGTATACGGCAGCCGTTGATCACCTATCGCGTTCCCTATTAATATCGCGTGTTTTGACTATGAAATCAGCTAGCCTATTGTAGAAGTCAACTTGAAATTCTGACTGATCACCGTTCTAGTTGGAGATTCTGATGTTACTGCACATAAATTTTTTCAAGGTTATGTGCGGATGCTTGTTCTTGTTGAGGTTACCTGACGAGATTTAGCACATGGAACATCCATGTCCGTATTCGAAATCGGTCTTTGACGTTCATTCTGGTTAATAATCACTCTAGTCGAAAACGACAGGCCCACTTAAGTGGAACACTGAAGCAAATTATGACGTTTTCCATGTAGTATTTAAGTAAACAATCTTTGTTTAGCACCGAGCAGAACTGGTTCTGGAGGGTTAATCTAAATAAACAGCTTATATATGTGTGTGCAAAAGCTTACCTTGGGTCGCATCTGGTGGTGGACGGCGGAACACAGTCACAAGGTGCAACTTCCAATGGCCACGAATCTCCAACTTAAGTAGTTTAAGAGTATTGGGAGATTCGAAGGTAAATTCATACACGTCTAAATCCTTAACTGGTATCAAAAATTTGGATATACTGTGCAGAAGATGAACTCACTTCTTGTAAGGCTGCATGCTCTAGTCTCATCCGATGCAAAGCAGGATCCGTTTTTATAGGTGAAATCTTTCTCAGCCTTGATAAACTACATATCAACGTAAACGAAAAAGGCAAAATACAGCAAAAACGACTGTGCATGCTTATTTTTATGACAGAATAATATTTTGAAATATTCCTATTCCCATTCCCAATAACTGTCGTTTTTAATGAACTCCATCTCATGAGCATTCTCAGTAGATGCCTTATTTTAACTAACCCTATGCAACATGTGAAATCTCCTCATTATTAGAAAGGTGTTAAATACGAAACAATAGATTAAGGCTATTGTCTAACGATGGACTTAGTCTGCAAACTAATTAGCTGCATGAAAAGGGAAAGTTATGAAAACGTTCGGAACTCTATCATGCGGCGTACGAGAGGTTCGAATGACAGTCGCGCATGTATGACGACTTTATCAGCCGATTTAGGAAACGTTCCAAGGTATTTTTTGTTCGCCGTCGACTCTGCAAAAGAAACGGAAAAACAATGCATGTAATCTTTTATTTTCAATGGAGAACAATTGACTTTTAATTAGCATGACTAGACCGTAGCATTCTGTCGGTAGAAGCTCAACGCTTGCAGTGAAATTCGGCAAAATAGAAACCGCGATAAATAGATGCGAACTTGTTTACATAAAACCCTAACATACAAAAGCAGTACTAAGTTGGCATCAGGCCCGTTAAATAATTCCGAGATTCAAATGTTACAGAAACACTCTCTGCATCGAAAATCAAGTGCGTGCTTTGGGTACTCCGATAAAGTCTTCTATCAAAACTCTTTCTGTTGATGGATAGAGTTAGCATTCGAGTAACTGAAAATTCCATTGAGGTTAGACATGCGCCTTGGCGTATATAGTAAAAGTATTATGCAGTCAGCGGTCTAGATGACAGTTAGTACTTTAACTAATTATCTCTAATTAGCGAGGAAGAATGCTTAATCTTTGCTCGGAGTACGAGCTATTTGATAAGTAAATTTGGTATGTAAAATACAGCAACGTGAAAGAATTTCTGGAACTATGAACTACATCTCCGACAAGAATTACTGTTCCCTTTCCTATTACCCCTTATCCCACTTAGTGCGGTTGGGTAACATTACGCTACACTGGGAATCACAGTTAGAAAAACAAGAGTGAATTATTCGATGAGGCAGTGCAAAGAGGGAAATTTGATGTGATTGTGAGATGCAGGTGCTTTCTGCAGAATTTCTTACCTGAGACAACAATGAGGACTAACGCAAGCCCCAGGGCCACGGGAGGCATGATTCAAGCTAAATAACACTTACATTCCAAATCGGCTTATATATTAGATTATGCTATTTTTTAACCAGTGAACTGACAGAAAGCTATCTGTCTTGCTGATATCGAAACAGCAGGTCGTTCTGGCAAGAATGCGTCTTTTACCTGAACGGGAATGACTGATGCGACGACAAGGCCGACAGACCTACAATGCCTAAAAACTGTTACATTGTATGAAATTATTAAAAATGAAAATTTACTCGATGGTGCAAGTAGTAGATGGCAAAAACCACTTTTGTGCGCACAGAAGAACCACGTTCAGGCACCGCGCCTACAGTGGTCGAAGGTCGACTAACGCTACAGCTCTCCCGCGCCCTTCCGCTCTCACCCTGCCCCTGACACTGGACTGCTATTACCCCCCCCCCCACATTCCCACATTCCCACTTTAATCGATTTATCTTATCACTGACGTGTTTGTACTTTTGCCCCCCTCCCATATAATTGTACTGGCCCGACGAGAATTTATCGAAAGCTACTTATGCTCGCCATCTCGTCTTCTGATAATTAAAACCAGAATATCTTTGTGAAAGAATGTAGCCGTCCGCGTGCCTTTAACAGGTGGATGTGCCTTGATTTCGGACGTATCTATTTAGTCAAATTTATAAAATCTTCTCCGGAAAGACATCCCCACCTAAAAGTCAATCTATGGCTACACCACAATTTTGTCATCTTTTGACCCTCCTTCTCACTATCGTCTCCCCATCCAATTTAAAAACGTCATTTCTGCAGGGGTTCCGCTTCAGATATAAATTCCTCCTAATCTACGTCTAGCCAACTTATCGTGTAAATGATGGGTATGTCCGCGTGTGCTTTTATAGAATTGTGCGCATAGCAATGCTCACATAACCCATATATAATCTTTTCTAGGCGGTATCCTTCTTGATTCAACAGCTTTAACAACGTATATCTCCAAATGCGTTAAGAAGCGCTCACGCATTCAGTTCATGAAGCAACTCCTGCATAAGCAGTTTCGGAGGCTGTTTACAAATCAGTCGGATCTCTCATTCACATTTTCGGAGCTGGCAAGCCTATCCAGCTTTTTACCCGGCGAAGACCTACACGAGGCAATTAAACTGCGCCAGGCAGAACGTGCTCCTTAAACAAATGTGCCAGTCTGACAAAATCTGCTGGAGTTGGTCCTCTACAACGTCACCCCGTAATCATGTGCTTTCTGCTCAAGTAACAAAGTACATTTTATGTGAGATTATAGCCTTCTCCTAGTCCAACATGCACGATGGGGGCTAGGACTCAGCAGGCATTCCTACGTCAAGTTCAGTTTGTTAGCGCAGAAGCAGTGAAGACAGTTCGTTTGGTTTAGCCTTCGAAGTCTGAATGACTAGTGATGAGTTTCGTCCTAGCAGATGTAAATACAACCGGCTGTCACACTGTACCCGCTGTCAGGAGTTGGTTGCAGGCAGACAAGGCAGCGACATGCGCGGGCCGTGCCACGTTACTTCCACAGTTTAGACGATATAAAGAGGCTGACACAACGAAGAATCTTTCGAGGAATCTGCCCATCTCGAGTACGGTCGGAAAAGATACCGGTTAAATTAAGACCAGGATTGGTTAGGGACAATACTTATAAGCGATCTTGCACAAACGGTCGTGAAGCCCTAATGAAATCCAATGAAGACAACTTCCCTCCATTAACATGGAAATATGATCGTCCGGGGTAATTAAGAATTTGAGTTACAAGCAAACCTTACCAACGAAAACATGTAAGCTTTCAGATCCTACGCACTCGGTCTGTTTTATCAAGCCAAACTTTGAAAAATCATTCGCTTAACGGAACCGTGCAGTCCCAATTATAGTCAGAAAAGCCGTCGTCTGCGGTTGGGACCGGTAAACGTATTGCGAACCTGATGAAAGTATCTCCTGAGTGCTTAGGCGGCAGTTCACGGGTATTGATAATTGAATGGATAGCCCAATTGTAATGCCCACCGCCAGCTTGACCGTCGATCCTGACGATAACCACGGTGTGTTCCTCAGTAGTGTAAGAGGAAGGACGGTGGTTTGCGCGCGAATCAGATTATAGTGGTGGTAGACTTGTACAGCATTTAACGCACTCCCTCCTCCTCCTCTCCACCTAGATCCGATTTCAAGAGGGAGTCTAGAAGACAGTAGGCGGGAGAAGGCGTAGGTGGGTGGCATGGCGTAAACACGCACCTAGACATACCATCACATCACCTGATCCACAGTTAACACTGAATAAGACCTTCTACAACAACAAAAAAGGGGGCGACACAGTTCCCAGTTGGCGCAACGTGAGCCGGCAACTGGGCCTGCTGACACACCCCCACATGTTGGCATTTGTCGTCGCGTGTGCACTTTCACATTAACGCCTGCCGGACTCTATGCTCAAGTCTCTGTGGCCCGTTTTAGGGGCAAAACGTTCTGAACCAACGTTATGTAGTCTATCATTAGTGTACCACCTCTCATCCTGTTTATGCGATATGCGATGTTTGTCTATAGAAGCAGTTTATTTGACGGGATTTTTAAACAGGACCCCTTCGCTTCTGATGTCTCTTAGGTTTTTCTGCACGCACTTCTGCCTAGATTAGCGGAATGAAATACATTCATCAGGTATAACTTATGAACAAAAATGCAGTATGCCTCATTTTTCAACTATTTAATGAGGATGAATTTCCAGGACGAAGAGTCGGAAAATCATTCTTTTCGAAGCGTAGACGTACCTTTTCTGACGTTTCCTTATCCATGACCAAGTACATTGTGGGCGAATAGTAGTGGGCATTAGAAGCGAACTTAGCCTTTCGGTGTGCTGTTCGAGGACACCTATGGCGAAAACAATGGGTAGCGTGAACCACAATGTGAAAATATTTACGATGGAGATCCGCGGAATGGCGTGTTATCCTTCGGAAAATGACTGTGGGGAATATAAAGTTTGAGCAAATGAAATTGAGGATTTATGCCTTTCGAGGGTAGCTTCAGACGGTTAGGCTATCATAGCTTTTATGAAGAAACGTGCCCCCCCCAGTGATTGCCTTTATCTACCAGCAGCCAGTGTAAATAATCATTGTTCGGCACATATGCACATTATTCCGTATTTTTTTCCGGATATCCATGTAGAGAGAAATGTTAAAGGAAGACCCATCATCAAGTTTGACGTACACATGTCGACAATACTTACGTCATGACGGACAGCACCGACGTAGGCAGGAGTTCATCGTCTTGACAGCACTTCCTAACCACCGTCTAGCAAAATACCGTTGGAGTAGATGAATATAACATCAACAAGCGCATGGGAACAATAAGAATAAGGCAGATATCTGCGGTGAGTATATATGGTTAAAACAAGTGGCATGCGAAAATTCCCCATCTCCTTTAAAAGGTATCGAGAGGTGAGAACTGCGTGCGGTATTAGGCACCGTCATCTAGCCACACTTGCAAGAATATGTGGCCCCAACCCCTGCGATGGCAAAGGGGTTGTTGCAATTACCTTCCTGGTCTTAATTAATCCTATACTGACTCGCTTTTAGGCTTCGACCTATCTGTAACAGACAGTGGGAATCCATAGGAAAGTGGTCGAGAAATAATATATATATATATATATATATATATATATATATAGGCAGAATGATATTAACGACAAAGACACGGGAGACTGGAATGGCCATTTCTGGCTTATTAGCCGTCGTCAGCCAGAGGCTAATAAGACAGAAATGGCCATTCCAGTCTCCCTTGTCTTTGTCGGTAATATCATTCTGCCTATATATCATGCGCCGCTACGCGGCTGCTGGTTAGGCTCGAGAGAGAGCCCTTAAGGCACAACGGAACGAGTGAGTACCGTGTGAACGATCGGCGAGCGCCCTCTACCATTATATATATATATATGTGGTGTGTAGGTGTGTCCGGTTGTGTGTCCACGTGAATGTCGTGGTGGGTCGCTCACTTGCTTGCGGATCTTGACGACGCATAGAGTCCATTAACTGTCACCCAATTATCATACGTGACTCTTCAGAACTCGCCTCCATCTAGCGGTCAAACCATCCAGTATCCGCCCCGATCGGCGGGCTAAGCCCCGTGAAATTATCAGTGTGTACATCTCCACACTTGGTAATTCTGCCTATTTTTGCTCCTTCGCACATTCTCTCCGCACTCCTCCTCCGCCATTCACACTTCCCAATCTCTATCCTGCTCTACCGTCTTACTCCACGGTCGGAGGTCTTACGACGAGAGTGACAGCAACCACGTAGGCGGCCCAATCCATTGTTCGTTCTCTCACTAAACCCCGTGACCCATAACGGAAAGCGTTATCCATCTGGTGCGACAAAGCAGCACTATCTGAGGAAAGCACTCCTTTTCCCACGAGGAGAAGGGGCTAGAAAAGGTACCCCAACAAAGCTGGGTTCACTAAATCTGTGCGCAGACCGTGACTCGCAGACTGTTTAACATGCGACCGAAACCAAAATACACTTTCTCTCTCTCCCCCCCCCCCTCCTCCCCCTACCCGCCACCCAACCCCACAGGCAAATAGCGTAGGTCCGTTCACCCTGGCAGTCTGAAATTTGCATTCTCTTTTACACGATCCCAAGAGAAACCGATCGAGACCGCGGACTGCACCAGTAGCTTAAGAACTGACGCGCCTCAAGGTGGACACTGCTGCACTCAGCGACACCCTGTTCTACGAATGGGGCCAACTGGCGTAGGTGGGTGTCGGCTACACTTTCTTCTGTAGTGGCTGTCGAAAAGCAGATAGACGAGACGCTGGCGTCGCTTTCGACACCCGAGAAGACATCGTGCGACGAGTGCCGTGTCTACTGCAGCAACGACCGGCCATTGAATCTGCGCCTACTTCCTCGGGATCCCATTTCACCACCAATGACCGACTCTGACAAGGCGAAGATCAAGTTCTAGGGAAACCTAAACACCGCCTGATGGACCACCTCACGGTGCTATTTCAGGAGGTGTAACAGTGTGGACAAGTGCCTCCGGACTTCAAGGACGAAACCACTGTTCATCTCTACAAACGTAAAGGTAACCGGAAAGTCTGTGACAATCACAAAGTTAACTCGCTGCTTAACATTGCCGGGAAGATCTCCGCCTGCATCGTTCTCAGTCACCACAACAGACATTTCGAGCAAGAACTCTTGTCGGAAAGCCGATGTGGTTTCCAACGACATCCTTCTAGGCCAAAAGGCCTGCTTGCGTCAGCCATGATAGGACCAGCAAACTATGGCACTCTCAGCCTGCTATGCGCTGGCAGTTCCCCGCCTCTAGATGCGCTGGCGCTCTCGCTGGATATACAGGTCGTGAACATGGCTGTTCATTCATCCTCCTCCTTTTGACCCGTCGTCGTGGTGTTATTGTGGTTATTGTTTTTCATTGAAATCCTAGTCAGTTTTTGTGTGGATCGGGGGTTTGAGGTGGAGCGCCAAGCTGCAGACTCGGCCGTGCCATCCACCTGTGCCCTTCCCAGGCCCCTGGCTTCTTTACTCTGCCTTGACACCGGGCACAGGTGGGGGGGGGAAGGAGCGAGCACGGTAGACGCTGCGCAATCCTAAACACAGTATAAACTAATTCACACGCAATTCAACTTGCTGTGGGGTACATGCAGGTTATCTTCGAATGTAACGGTGTAACTGCCGCCATATGCACAGATATGTGAGAAGGTAAGGCGATCACAGGAACCATGAATTTCTCGGCCTGACGTTTCGAAAGCAAACAAGCTTCCAATATCTGAGGAGGGTTGCGTACAGCACGTCACAGCATTTATTGGTTTTTCTTCGTGTTGGCGTGTCACTGACTTCCAGCGTGCTGCATCGCGCGGTTGGCGACTGTTGTCATGGTGGTATTGACTCCTTCTCATCCTTTTTCGGATGTGCGGAGGTGGACGGCGTCGGCGTGCTCGCGGCCATTGGCTCTTGTTTGCATTGTCCGTTGTTCGCCCTCCACGTATCTCGCTTTCCTGTCCCGTTCACACCTGCCCCGTTAACGTATGAACGGTGATTGTCGCGCCAGTGTTGACGTCGGGCTGGGCGCCCCGTCACTGTCGTTCGTTCTCTCCGAGATCCAATAGACGACGCTGGCTGCTTCGCCTCGTGTCAGAGGCGTTTTTGGGTCTCATGGCCAGACGTCTGATTTTCGCTTCGAGCTTTGGGGCAATGCCGATACCCACTGATTGCAAGATATGAGCAACTGCCTCGGAAACGCTCGCAATGTATGGCAGCGCTCGCCAGACCTTCGGTTGATTCGCCGTTAGCCTTATATTTGGTCTGCATAGTCTGCTGCTTTCTATAAAGCTGCGGGGATAACCGCTGGAAAATAAAATCCACCGCAGATAGTAGAGTTTGGCTACTTTGTCGGCCATTTCGCTGCAGTGAGTGTCAACTCTCTAGTAGGGTGATCGCACGCAGCTTCGCTTGTGAAACAATGTGTGATTACTGTGGTAGGATAGGACTTGCCGAATATTGGTGGCCTTCATGTAAACCGTCGTTTTCAGACCCCCGTTAATCTTGCGATGAATCAGAACGTCTAGGAACGCGATACGATTGTTTTTCTCTGTCTCCATGGTGAATTGAATATCCGGAAATACAGAGTTCAGCAGCGCGTGGAAATTTAAGTCTATTTTGCTTTTGAGAACGACGAACGTATAGTCCATATATCGTTCCAAAAATTTTGACTTCTATATTGCGAACACCAACGCCTCTAACTTTTGACAAACCGCCTCAGTAATGAAACCGTATAGCGGTGATTCCATGGGCGCACAATAGATTTACTAGTTCACAGTCCCTTCAAACCTGAAGGATGTTTGCCAATTATAACCGTGGATCGCCCTTTGTCTGCAGGTAGAATCACGATACTCTTCGCCGCATTCAGCGTCCTGAGGGCATCCTGCTGCGCTCTCGGGATGACCAAACATGGCTTGTACGTCATAACCAGGGAGGTGACTTGTTGCTGAATGAGGTGCTGTGTCTCGACCGGTTCCCGGGAGTGCTTTACATTCGACTCGATTGTGACCATGGGGTTCACCGAGACGGCGTCCGAGATGTTGAATCCAGCTCCGGCTTAAATTCTTTGGAGGATAGATTGTGGACCAGAACCTCGTTGTCCTCCTGTGTAACGGAGCCTAATTTTTCAGATTTGTCCATCAGCTCCCTATCTCGTCTGGATCTCAGTTTACTAATCCCTTGGCTGAAAAATTCTGTCTTGTTCTGGCCAACGAATTCCGAGCACTTTTAAGGTGACTGGCTCAAGATACACATATGCATACTCCACTGGTAAATATGTGGAAGAACGTAATGGCCGCATTTTGGTCAATCACAATTAAGCGCCGGACGAAGGCGGTGCCTGAACTCGGAACTCAGTATTGAAGTAACGGTTCAAGGGAGTTGCTTAGAGACGTCGAACCTGTGCAAGTGACTGTGCGGAAGGGATCGGTTGCAAGAGGTTATACTCAGCAACATTTGATTTACACGGAGAAAGTTTGCGGCTGTCATTTGCGGAGAGAGATAAGGCAGCGATACAGAAGTAAGAAAAAAATTCTACCACCAAAGTAGTGGAATTTCTGTGGAAAATGCATTGGGCGTTGCCGAGGTCGCGGAAGTCCTCCACCTGAGGCATTCTTGGAGACTATAAAAAAATACGTAAGCGAGCAGAGAAATGTAGGGGCACGAGATTGCCTGGCAGGGTAGACGGAAATGTTCCGTCGAAAAAATATGACAGTTTCCACTTGACATAAAACGTCGAAAAAACTATTTCATTTCCCCGGGGTTCAGTTATTCAATTCTCGAATCCAGCAGGTGAGATAACGCCCTTTGAGGTAGACTCCTGCTTGGATATTTAGGAGAGGGGTAATCGCTATGGTAGAGGAGACTTAAGGCAGATAAAGGAGGGGAAGTGTGGATGGGTTTAGATGAGCCAAACGTTATTGTGAGCATGCACTTTAATAGATTTTTCTGACAAAGCACATATTTTAACAGTAGAACGTTCTGATATAAATGTCCTGGCTTGGGGAGAATGCGCCTAATCTAAGTATATTTGACGAACGGGGTTTTCAACCAATTGAAAAATAGCAATTAAAGCACTCCGCTTTTCACAAGCTGCCCACTTTCGATTGTATCAGCATGAAAACATACTAATTTGATATTTATTATTTTTTAGGAGAGGAGAAATCGCGCTTTAAGCAAAATATGCAATACTTCGAAATATCAATTTTTTGCCAAAAACTGGCGTCAGGTTGCGGCTTATTGAGAAAATACTATTTCCTTGGCAGTTGCAGCTAACTTGCAGCTAAAATTCGAGCCAGTATAACATTCGGGTGAACCCAAGAAGTTATCCCTTATCCAATGCTGCAATGAGGCTCGGGATTCCAGCAACTAGGAATAAATTATGAAGATTAATTATTCACACTCTACACCCACCATCTAATTTTTGAGCCTATCAAAGGAGAAGTTTTTGCGTGGCATTTATTACACACTTGTAAAATCATCGTCACGAAGGTGTCTTCTGAGTTTACCTTATTGCTAGTATGCGCAGTGCAAGTCACATTGATGTCATCTTTTTTCGCTGCAACAGGCATTTCTTGAACAATGGTCAAATGGTGTCCTCGAGACTATAAATCTCGTGTTCCTATGACTCTGGTCAGGTTGGTGTTGAAAATTATTTATTTTATCAAATTACACACACATTAGTACCTCTCACTTCCTCCTGCGTCATCAAAAGTATATGCGTAATCTGCTGGATGTGGAAGGCATGAGACTGTCGCCTTCCTGCGAGAGTTAGGTGTCGTAACTTGATGAACACCTAACTTTGGCTGGTCCAAAGCCTTCCTTTGTTGTCGTGGTTTCGGATCCCACCGAGACGCCAAGTTTTTCACAATAAAGTCAAAAAGAAAAAGAGTATTGTTAGTTTAATACAATGCAAAAGCTTAGCAGGTGTTGACAAACCCCTTTTCTCCTCTATAATAAGGGAGAGCAAGGATCAATAGACGAATGTTCTTTTATAGTAACAGAATGGTTGCAGCGTGAAATACCCTGCCTTCTGATGTTTTAGTCTCCCCTGCGTGAATTTCTTTAAGTGTAGACTTGGCGTGTATTAATCTTACCAATTATTAGCCCAACATCTACTCACATAATCCGGCACTAACTTCTACACGTTTACACTACTTGCAAATGGTAAGTAACTGTTAATGATGATTTTTTTCGACTAGCTGACAGCTGTCCACAATTATGTATAAAATCTCTTTTTCACCATCCCACTTATCAGTGTTTTTCACCAACGAATTTTAACCAATAGGAAGTCCAAAAACGCTATCCTATACCTCCTTTAATAAAAAATAAATTGAACCTTCGCAAATCGCACAACCAGTAAACTTCGCTCTCATTGTTGCTGCCAACCGCTTGCCGAAATGGCAACGACCTAAGGCATTAACCGGGGATTGGGGTTTTTTATCTGTCTCAATCGCTCGGTGAGCAGTGACATTATTTTTTGAGAAAAACAAAACATGAATAGAAACTCCCTCAAAACTAATGGAAACGGGATCTAAAGCAGACAGTTAACTTTGCGCAGCAAGGAGACGTGCGATGTACACAACAACGATCCATTCAGACGGAACTATTTTTGGGTTATAAAACTTATTCAAAGGCTAATGATGCAGTTGAGGATTGCACCACCCAGCTGAAGGGCTTCGTCTTGTGTGTCAAACTACAACGGATAGGCCCACGACAGTCATTACAATGCTCACTATGCATGCACATGCATTCCACCTGATCTTTGCCCTTTCATGTCAATCAGTGTTGAAAATAGAGTATATTTCCTGAGGCTGCTGGTTCCATGCCTGCCATCGACAGCCACAGCATTTGCCAGTAAAGATCCCCTTGGTGGTCATTGTTGGTTTCGGTGAGTCATTGTTACATGGTAGCACAGACGCAGGCACGGTCAGAGTTCCCCGGGAGAGTACTGGGTAAGATTGGCCAAATCTGCGTTGGAAGATGGTGCTTGAAGCCGTCTCGAATAGAAAGGTTGTTACCCCCAAGGAATGGTAGTAGTTTGTAGCTGACGAAATGAGACTTGCGCAGTATCGACTGCTGCCCCACCTCCTCCTTCCCCTCCCCCTCAGCCTCCTCATCTTCGTCGTCAAATGCCTCACTACACCATTCCTCTCTCATTCTCTCTGTCCTCTTATACATTTCAATCCGCAACATCCTCCATTGCTGTTGATGATGATGATGATGATGAGGAGGAGGAGGAGGATGATGATGATGATGATGCCTTGCTGACATTGTCCAGATGATTATGTAATATTCTGAGGCTGCCTAACTTTGAAATTGGTGCTCGAGCAAACGCTGTTGTCCTTATGTCATGCACACTGAAGACGACCTGTCAATAAATTTGTTACTATCGGTTTTGTGAAGATAAATTGGGCATTTGAAAATCAAATTTTAGACAAACAGTTGCATTGGAGGCTCTCTGGGCCGTTTTTAGACTTTCTCACACAAAAACGTGCTTCATTATCCTCAGACCATCTTATTCTTTTGTGCGGTGATTTTAACCGTGTGAGCTTTCGGCCCATTACCCTTCTGGGCTTTGATGACCTTGTTTCATTCAATACACGGGCTGATGCCCCTCTTGATCATATCTTGCCCAATTACCCAAAGCCTTTTGTATTAAAAATGGAGCACCGCTCTCCGGGTCAGATCACTCAGTGCTACTAGGACTTCCAAAAGTCTATTCCACCTCTAAGCGACAACTGCTTACAAAACCCGAGAGGAAAATTACTGTTCGAGACACATCCGTAGATAAGATCCCCTTACTGCAGAGTTCGATTACTAGTACCATCCCAACTTTTTAGCACTACAAAATGCTGAATTATGCTCTAACAATCTTACGCTATTTTTGAATCACATTTTTGATATTTGTTGTCCTCATGGAACTGTTATGGTCAGGCCTGACAGAATCTCCTCACCATACCTCAAACACTTGAGACGTCGTAAAGAAGCCTTCTACAAACTAGGTCAGCGTGACAAGGTGAAGGATATCAATGTTTTAATAAAGAACGAAATTGCCAGACTTAACAGTTTATTCGTTAGTCAACTTTTTCTACTTCATCCACCCGCTCCTCTCCTTTCCTTCGGCTGAATTGTGGAGGAATCTCAAGCGTCTCATTGGTCAACGTTATATACTTGAACCCATTGATGTAGATTTAAACTCTTTAAATTTATCTGTACTTCTAACGACTCCCATTCTCGCCCAAACGAAATTTACCTACAACCATGCGACTTTACTCCTGTGACTGGGACAACAGTGGAATAACATCTCAAAAAGGTTCGCGGATCAACGGCGGCTGGGCCGGACGGTGTCTCTCCTTTTCTCCTTAAGTCTTGCTGTTCGCAGATAGCTCCCGTCTTGATCCACCTTATTAATCTATCCTTCATAGAGTCCAAGATTCCTGACGCCCGGCGTACAGTAGGAATTACTCCAATCCCTAAAAAATCTTTAACTTTTGCTCCTAAATCTTTCCGTCCTACTGCCTGCTCTTCTGTTCTCCTGAAACTTACTGAACGAATTGCATTAGATTCCCTTAAGTACTCCTCCGTCAGTTTTTCTGATCCTCTACAATTTGCATACAAGGCAAAGCGTAGCACCTTGGATGTTGTTGCTTTATTTGTCCATTCAGCTTTGAGAGACTTAGACAAGGGATGCCGTGCATATGCATGTGCTTTTCTCGACTATTCATCCGCCTTCAATACTATTCCGCGCCAACTCCTACTGACCAAAGCAGCTGCGTGTGACTCTCCGAGCTGGGTTGTTTCTTGGTTTAGACATTATTTTTCCTTCCGCACACAGTTTGTCCAGTCGGGAAAAAGAAAATCTTCTATTCTTCCAAATAATTGTGGAGTTCTACAAGGTTCCATCTTATCCCCTCATCTTTTCTCTCTACATACTGATGATTTGAGATCGCCAAACGACTGTCTGTATGGTAAGTATGCCGATGACATGGTCGTAGGCCACCCATTCAAAAACCTGACTCACCTACAATCTTTAAAGGATGACTTAGATCATGTCCCCGTATCGTCGTCGAATAATGCACTCCTACACAACAATCAGAAATCAGTACAGTGTGTGTTTCGATTGCGACCCTCTCCCATTCCTAAACCTTTGGATATTCTTCCCAATGAGGTATCCTCTTTCCGGCGCCTAGGTGTTTCTTTGTACTCAAATCTCTCTTTCTTTCTTCATATGGAAACCCTTTTAACAAAACTTCAAAAACTGATTTATTACATTCGTCATCTACGTTCATAGATGGCTGTATTCTTCCACTCATTCTTTATTGTTCTCCAGTTATTTTTCAGCTTTACTTAAAAAAGATCTAATTATTTTTAAACGTGCCATTCGAATGCTCGCCTCTGCTGCTGGTATTTCCTATCATATTTTAGTTGATATCATCGTGCAGCGACACTTCAATACGGTGGAGCAATTTGCTGACGGAATTCTGAATGACACCGTCCATTCCCTTCATAATGATTTAATGGCTGCGAAATCCTTACGCCCCATGCGTCGATGCTTCCGCCACATCCCTTGTCGCACTTCGGCTTATCAGAATTCCATACTGCCATTTCTAGCCCGGTATCTCACCTGCGAAGATGCTGAAAAACAAGAGCTAAAACTCGATCTTGCACCTTAAAGTCCTTTTTTTCTTCATATATAATCATGTCCACCTGTCTGTCCAAAACCTGTTAATCTCTATGGTAATCACTGTGTACTGGAGAACCGTTTTTGCTGAAAAGTTAGAATGTTATTTTCAGAATAAAGCATTCCTCTCTCTCTCATCTCAGATGAGCGGGAAAGGAGGACATAGAAAGATTCGTAGTAGCAGTAGGTCGCAGAGGCTTATATGATTGGCTTACATGCCCCGCAGCCTCCACTGTCTCATGAAAATTGTTGCATTTGAACTATAATTTCGGGCGGTCTTTCGCTAACACGCTTTTATGAGAAAACGTAGTCCTGAATCAAATGTAGCACTCCTGAACGACTTTCGTAAATAAAACTCTGCTTGTCACATATACCGTTCCATTTCCATTGCCCGCATACCCACGGAGACAACAGTGCAGGCAGAAGACTCATCATCACATTTGACATAACACCTGACAACGACATTTGCGCCATGGCGGTCAGCAGCCATTCAGACAGTGAAGTGGACACAATAGACCCATTATCTCGACGATACTTCTTAACCCTTGTCTAGGCGGACGAACGTGCTATCAACATGCTCTGCTCTGTACCTGTGGAGGATATGGGGAAATCTGTAGATGTCTCCCTGCTGATGAATATCCGAATGCAAACAAAGTGTCATTCGAAAAGTAGGTGTTTCCTCAAACAAGCATATAGGGTAGAGATAAGCGAGATGCATTAAAAGTTCTCATTTAATCCCATTTGCAATTTCTTGCCGTTCCAAATTTCTACATCGGCAAGGAAATCTTCCCGTTTGAAGTCTAAGGCTTACCAGAAGGAAAAAGCTTTCCACTCCTAGGCTTCAGTTTATGCACTGAGGCTAGATTCATTTTTACTTTTCTACGGCATATTAACCTGAACGGTCATTATCCCGAATCGTCCGTGGTAAAACGTCCACTGTAAATGGGTGCTACCTAAGCGCAGACGTGTGCTCGGCTTAACTTATTCATTAGACAATAAGGCGCGTTCATCTAGTTTGACTATAGATTCTATTCAGGAGGATCTTGGATTACCGGGGTGCTTGGTGCGTTGTCCAGCCGTAACATCCCTCACCGCTTCCAGCCCCTCAGAAAGCGATCGGGTGATCTAACGGATAGGACGACCAAGCAACCGCCGGCAAACTTACAGACATGGCCCTTGTGGTTCTCCTACTCGTCCCTAAACGCTACAATTTAAGGCAAAAAATCCTCCAAAGCGATTTGTCCCAAACGCAATTATTCTCATTTGGCTGATACCCGACCGTCTTCAAGTTACTAACCGTTTCCTGCGAGCAAATCTTTATCAACCAGAAGGCTAGATCCTTCAGTAACTCACGATCTGTCGTCCCAGGCCAAACTATTGCTGACTTTCCGCTTTCAGACTGAGCAGATCATATAAATTTGACGCTAATGGTTGGATAGCATGTAGATATGATCGAGTATGCCCTAGAACAAAATTGCTAAAACCATGTCTAGAACAGCTTTAATTCTGACCTAAGTTACTCAGTCCTTATTTCTCCCCTCTCCCTCAAATCTTACAATTCATTCCCCGTCCCCTGGCCTGCAAATTCGAGAAGAAGTTTGCACTAGAGGGCGTCGACTTGGGTGCTGGACTTGAAAATCAGTCATGGAACACCCCATAGGGAGAAAATATTATCAGAAGATGAAGATGCGATCACTGGGACAAGAAGTTTATTGGCCTGACGTTTCGGGTTCTCACTCGAGCCCATCATCAGAGACATTCGCAGATAGAGGTAAAGGTGGCACCAGGAATGCAGTATTTATAGCACGTGGCTG